TCTAAAACATCGTTCAATATATCTTAAGCACTAGTTGAGCATGCGTGTGAGTCAGCTTCTCACTGTAAATGACGCGTGGGGCCAACTACACCTCAAATGCGGAATAAATAGAGACTAAATAATGTGCAATTACGTGCGGTAAGGCAAAACAATGGCAGACCAATGAAGTTTTTCGGAAAATGGATACAACGCGAGTCAAGATATTCAGTTGCTCAGAATCGAAAAGAAGATGACTATTAACGTGAACGGAATTGGCGGAATCATGCATTGTTTTCGCTCTTTAAGCTTGTACCACAAGCATACCTCATGTCACCACCAATGTGAATAAGTCATGCATATTCCGGCTAACGCAACACATAGTGATATGCCTATACCATTTACGAACATTTCCACATGAATTTAAATGACGATATCACTCGGCTCGCCCGCACTTATTTCTATTCCTTCTAGCCGCCACTGCACGACATCCACATTTATTCGACAGCAGTTCTATCTGGAGCATCTGATAAGTTTCTTCCGGCGGGCATTCCAACGTGGGAAAATAGTTTCACACGGTCGTGCTCGCGGTCGGTCCAATGCATGGCGTCTGGCAGCGAGCTCGCGGTGGGGTGTGGATCGGCGTCAGACGACCTCCGCCGTACTGCAGTTCTCGGCATCATGACGTCTGTCCGACACCCGCACGACGTCGGCGGACAGGGGTGAGGCGCTCCACTGAACACGACGCGTGTCGACGGCCAAAGACTGGCGGATTTCCGCCCACTCGAAGGCTGCGTTTGATTCATGTTACCCATGGGCTCGGCTGAACTCTACCGCCGGCTCGACCGTTCTACTGGTCCGGGAACTGGTGGACCGTGGTCAACCGCTCGTATTTAAATGGAAGTTAGTTGGAAGGAGCACCGGAGTGTGGTCGGAGCCCCTTGCGCGACAGACACCCACCGCCATGGCGCCTATCAGTCTGGTAAGTTACCTGTTTGGCTAACTCGCCCGGCGAAATTGGTTAACCGGCTTCGAATGCCGCTTTCCAATTACACGTTTCCATGAATGAAACTGTAAAATGGATACCATTGATGTGTCCATTGAATTACAGTGCATGCACTTGTTAAATGCTAAGTGACTAAGAAATGTTTATCACCCAGTTTCTTTGCCGTTTTCAGATATCGGATAATTTGACAAAGGCTTGTGGGTGCATATAAATCGGCAAAGTCGGATGCACGATGCTCGCCTTCTTATCTTGTGTCCTTCAACCGCCTGTTACGTCGTTAAGACTTCGTGGTTTAGATATTTCTTTTAGATACTTTAGGTCTGTGATTAAAGTTGAATGCATGGGGCGTCTTTTTATGCGGTTCGTATTATCTTTATCCCACGGAGGAGTAAACTGGACCTCCCAAAATTTCGGTATCTTCTCTCGCCCTTTCACCGTTTTTGTTGTTTTGTCTGAAACGGACCAACGGAGGTAAATCCTCTTTTGTCATGCAAAAGCTTTCAAATGTTGTAAATAAATGCGGATAAAAGTAAGAAACTACTGCTCAACTGGCGAGTGGGCGGGGAATCGGGTTGTTGAATGTCACATATTTAGCGGACATAGATGGTAGGTGACACAATAAACCTGAATAGACCCAAATGATTGCAACAACTCATATGGAACATACACAGTTTTCGAAATTCGTCATTTTTACATCGGTGGTAACCGTAGAAACGCGTAGTTAAGGGATCGGTTTCGCCTCTGCCCGATGATTTTCAAGCTCGGCTACCATGCCTAGGGGCGCCAACAAATACTAGTCGCAATTTATCAGAGAAAAAAGGATAGTACCAGAACTAGACGGCTTTGAAATCAGGGACGGACCAAGGTTTGCTTTGAATTTTTTTTTTTTGGTCTTTCCTTTCAATGGCAACAAAGCTACGACGGCCATTGATACCATAACATATAGCGTAATAAAGATGGAAGAAAAGTATCTGCGAGTTTCTTTTACCACTCCCATTGGCAATGGCAATATGAATGCCCATGCATTGGCAGATGCAAAAATGCTGATTGAGCTGGACGTAAGTTCATCTTATTGGCGTTTTAAGCTTTCCTATCAAAACACGCGTTTTTGATATTTCACATTAGAAGAGCAGGATACGTGACAACCCGCCCCTACTGGGTTTATTGAAAGTAGCGGCGCGATGATGTACAGGCCACTGTCACTGACGCCAGGCCCACCGTGATATTTAATATCGAAATATATGCCTCCCATGCTTCATACCCCGTACCGCCCCTAGGTCACTCCTGAATGCAAAGAAAGCCGTAACGATATTGTACAACCACTGATCTCGTAAAAATGCTATCCCCCATGTGATTGTCTGCCTTTATGTCAACCCAAGCCGTTTGCCATATCGGCGCATTCTATGCACTATCTGCACGTATTTTGTCATTGGAAACTTTCCGTTCTGGCTAATCAAATGTTCTCTGGCAAAACCTTAAACGCCAAGAAACTTCCGTTGATGTCATTAAATGCGCTCTGGCGATTTGGAATGCACAAAACTTGGCTGCGCGTCCCTATGTCACCTGTTGGGGGGATAGGTTTATTTTCGCCATTTTAACACATATTGAAACTTGCTCCGAGACCGGTAATTGCTGTGATATCGATGTTCCAAGGGGATGCAATATCGTTTATAGAACGTCTTCCCCAGACAAAGCTTAAGTTCACTGACAGCCCGCCAATGGCAGAATACGGTGCATTCCGCGATTCCTGCTCTACAGGATCCGTGGATATCCGCGCGCGCTGTCGTTCATGACCTGTACCTCGTATTTTGGCAGTGACTCTGGAAACTGTCGAGGTGTCACACGCGAACGTTTTGACCCTGGGTCGTCTTCGGTGCTTCTCGCGACACTGACGGGGGCGCCCGCGGTCAGCTGCCGGGAGAAGCGTTGGAGAGGGCCCATGTTCGACGCGTTTTCGTGTGGAGCCCTGGCACTTTCCAGAGCCACGACCACAGCAATAATGACTCTGGTCAACAGCCCTGAGATGTCTTTTTGACTTATCCATGCTTTGCAAAACACGCTGAATCACTTGAACCACCATGCACGTGCATTATGTTTTGGGGGCTATCTCACAACAGAAATATTCATTTTTTGAACGCGAACGCAGCGTGAGATATTAAACACTTCGACCAACACCGTCGATTTCGAGTCGCTAGGAGTCTTCTCCTGTGCATGCTTATTGTTGGAACTCTACAAAGGAAATGTTTTGCATTATGTATTTCCTCAAGAAAACGTGAGTTATGCATTCAAATATTGATACGATGAAGACTATAGGATCCGTTGATGAAACAAGCTATAGTCGTTCAGTTTTCACGAGACCTTTTTGGGATGCCTCCCCACCCGTATCACGTATGGTTGAATTTTCACAAGCAATGCTCCATTCTTTTTTACAAATGATATAAGACTTGAAATTCCTGTGTAACCAGGCATTGATCTATGGTTCTCTTCTGAGCTGTTTGCAGTTTCCAAACGCATTGTCAACCGTGACTAGTTACTCGAATTGGTAAAGCAACAGTTGCATACTGTTAGTGCCGCTGCCATTTTCAAACGTTTTCGTTCCGTGGTGTTAGATCTGGCGTCGCTTAGGTGGGCGTACCTGCAGCGCTGCGATCCAGTTAGCAAAGCCAACGGTAGCCAATAAATTGGACACGTAGGTGCTTTTAATTGCACTGTTTTCCAATAGGTGAGAGGAATTCCTGCATATAGTACTCTCGCCTCAGATATAAATATTGATGTCACTTTTTGTGTCGTCAAAGGCGTTTCGGGCGGCGATGCCTTCCAGCCTGTGGTAAGCAACGTCATGCAAATATGCCATCGCTGTTTGCAGATCACCTTCTTTGGCCTGTTCCTGACCGTGACCTCGGAGGGCGTCTACAGCAGAGGACACGGATATGCCATTGGCGGTACGTAATGGATGAACGGTAGCCACTGACTGGTTCGTCCGCACGTAGGTTTTGTTCTGTAAAGAATGCATTTGTTGGTTCCGTTCTGGCCCACTCGTACTAACTCTAGTAAATTGACTAACTCTTGTTTATTGACTCTTGTTCCCACCCCAATCATTTACCGTAATCCAGGAACGTTGGTACCGGGTGGGAGGGAAGGGGCGTAGTAAGCAGCCCCTAAACTCTGGAAAAGTTAAGCAGCTATCCTACGCTCAAAACTGTTCACTTTCCTTGGGCGTAAGCCCACGAAAGTATGACTGAAACTGCGCAGTTAGTACATGTCACATCATAAGCGAATGTACACCGAGTGGTAATACGCTATTCACATTGCCGCTTACACCTGTGTTTTGAGAGCAATCGATATGTGAGGTTTGAAGGGAGGCGTGCTAACAACAGTGCAATATCTTTACAATAAATGAGCAATCAATTGGCACCAACAGCACTTGTCATCATTTGACTCGAAAAAAATGTTGTCAAAATCCAAAGTTTCAACCAGAAGGATACCAGCTGTGTAATCAAACCGGATATTTCAGTCACACCAAGGAAACGATTCGTGGTCAAGACTGTTCCCGTGAAACGGGTATCTCACGGTCGAAAGGTAGGTGCAATCCCTACTTGACCGCACCTTGGGCTACACCATTCGTGCCATACGTAAGTTAGCTGATCTTTTCTCTAGCCCTCAATATGCATGCATAGCAAGCTGCGCTCTAGCAGATGCTGGCAGTCTTGGTGGAAGTGTCACATGTTGAGCATCTCAGCCAGCAATGCTACAACAGCCAACAGCTGCAATGGCAGCCGTATGCTGCCATTGCAGGCACTCAGCGATCTGCAGCGAGTAAGCGACAGTGCCAACAGAGCAGGTGCTCACATCTGGCCGGCTGGTGTTGCGTTTGGGCAGTTGCCTCTTTACGCCCGATGAAAGCTTGGCCACCAACACGACTTGATGCCGTGTCGATGCCGTTGATGCTGTGTTTGTCACCTGAAATCTTGCGCATCCCATTCATGCACCGGCCCCGTTTTAGACACCATTAGTTTTGCCTCCAGGGTCACACCTTGGTGATCCTGGACACGAAATAGGTCACTTTTTGTGACCTCTTACATCTCGGTCACAAAATGAAATCTCGCGTTCTGTAATATTGATTGTGTCGTCGGATAATTTATGAATCTTTGGAATCAGGGCCGATGTCTACAGTCTGTATATATCTGTAGACTCGCGTTCAATGCAATCGAGAGTCGGTCTTTTTTGTTCAATGCAATCAAGAGGCGACCTTTTTGTTCAATGCAATTGAGAGGCGGTCTTTGAAGGTTATCAGCGTCCCTGTACCAAGATAAGGGCCGCTTTTATCCGTTCCGTCGGCGCGCTGACTCCGCCGTGCTCGGCCGCGCTCCGACAGAGCACAGCTGTGTTCCGGAGCCCTTACGACAGCTACGATGAGGCGGACGCCATCCGCACGGCGGACCGTGACGTCCCCCACAAGGTCTCCTCCTACCTGCCGCCCTACAAGCCGGTCAGTCCCCGCACGCCGCTGTCAGGCGGGGGCGTGTTCGTCACCCAGCCGTGTGCATGTTCGACACCCAACCGTGGGCGTGTTCGATACCCAGCCGTGTGCGTGTTCGACACCCAGCCGTGTGTATGTTCGACACCCAGCCGTGGGCGTGTTCGACACCCAGCTGTGTGCATGTTCGATACCCAGCCGTGGGCGTGTTCGACACCCAACGCTCCTGTCGGCTGTCCTAAGCAGAATGGTCAGAAATACGTGCGATTTGGCCTGTTCCATTGTATCCAGATATGATGCTCGTTTAGAGAAACATTGCCATTTTTCCCGGTCCAAGGTTGCCGCGACCGCAAAAGAGGCCTATTTGTTTATTTCTTAACGTTACTTGCCTTACAGCGATGGCATGAAAAACCGATGAAAACAATACGCAAATGTGCTGAGGAAAGCTATAGTGTAATCTGGCACAAGCGATCATTATGTATCAACATTCCATGGTTGCTTCTTGGACAAGAAACCTTCAAAGACTTCGTTTGCTTCAAAAGATGGTATATATTGCTAGTGAATTCATGCGTGGGGGAATTGCATCTTATTATTCGTATTGCGTCTTACGAATTACATCCGCCAACTTCCCTCATTTTTATGACAATGCGTTATCATTCAATGACTCTGAGTTTTCTCACAACGAATCCAATCGTAAGCAAGCAGCGAAGCGCACAGAGTAAGGACGTGAGTCAGCACCTCCATGCATCAAAGCACCTAGCAAATGTGTGCAAAACTAGCGTCATGACCCGGCGCATCAGAGCGGCACGTGCCAATCTGTGCCGGCCGGCTGAGCGCAGATGACTGGTGCCTGAGTGGGGTCTTGACGGGCTGAGGCTGTGTTGATTGGCTGCAATGGCCGACCAACGCTGTAGTTCGTGACGTCATGGTCATGACCGCTCCGCAACGTCATGGTCATGACGTCATGCAAAGAACTCACGGAAATGCGCTGAGATGTCCCAAGTCTCCACTCTCACCACAGCGTACAGCTAGCACAGGCTGTCCCCCTGTACGCCTGACGTCAGGACGGGGAACAGTTCGAAACACACTGTCGTGTCGTCTGGGTGGTCGCGAGAGTGGAGCTACGGCTGCTGCTGGCATCTCGCCACTCTCAACGGCTGCCGCTGGCCATCTTCCACTGCCAACGGCCGCCACTGGCCGGTTCCCCACTCCCGGAAACTCTACATATCTCATGACTGCCCCCTCAAGTCAGCTGACCTTCGGCCGTTGGACGCTCGTGCCGTTAAAATACACTTTGAGCGCGCCCGAGCCGGGGCGGTTCAGCGCGCGTGCTTCACACGTCACTGACCCGCCGAGGGAGGGCTTCCGCCTCGACGCAGGCCGGGACCGCACCCTCCCGCTCGACGCTGTTGAGGTGTTTGCCGATGTATGTAAAGGCCAAGGTCATTAGAGTCGGCAGACATGATGAGGCACAGAGTTGTCAAGTGCATGTCGGTTTAAAATGGAATGTTATATGTTATGTTATAAGTTATGCATAACATATATGCATGCATATAGCAATGCGATGTGCATTACGGGCATGGGTAACCAATCTTGAGTACCGTCAGGGAAGGTAAGGTAATGTAGTGTAAGGCAAGGCAAGGCAATGTAAGGTAACACATTTATTTATTCATTTATTAGATCGCACGGCTTCACCTCCCTGGTGGACCAATTGAGTCTAGATGGTGCTTTTTTCTAGTGATGATAATTCAGTTGTGAATGCGTGCATCTGCTATGGTGAACACTGGTGCGTGTTCCCAAACCAGAAGTCGTGATGGAGAATGACGCGTCAATGCCTGTTGCTGGGTGGCTGTAACCTCATCGGTTACGCCATCAGTCATGCAACACAAGCGAAGGCTATTACGGCATCCGTTAACATCCTGAATATGACTCATCTGTTTCAGGCCGTCGTGGCCAAAAAGGCCGTCCACGTACCGATCCACACGCCGCACGACGTGCACGTGCCAGTCCATGCACCCCACGACACCCATATACCAGTCCACACACCCCACGACACTCATGTACCAGTCCACACCTCCCATGACTCTCATGTTCCAGTCCACGCCTCCCACGACGCACATGTTCCAGTTCACGCCTCCCACGACGCACATGTTCCAGTTCACGCCTCCCACGATGCACATGTTCCAGTTCACGCCTCCCACGACTCACATGTTCCAGTTCACACCTCCCACGACCCACATGTTCCAGTTCACGCCTCCCACGACGCACATGTTCCAGTTCACGCCTCCCACGACGCACACGCTCCCGCCGTGGTCCTGTCCCACCCTGCCCCGAAGGCCCACGTGCCTGTCCCAGTGCCCGTGAGCCACGACGTGGCGCACGTGGCGCACGAGCCCGTGGCGTACCACTACGACTACCACGTGGTGCCTCCGTGCGCGCTGGCCAATCAGCAGGTGTACAACATCACCGTGTGTCTGGACGACGCTGAGTACCCTACGTGAGTCGACCAGAGCACCTCAGCGCTTGGTCTGATAGTCTGTCACAATGACATGCTAGTCTGTCAGTCTCGCAGTCTGGCACTCTGACAGTCTGACGTTTTGGATGTCTGACAGTCCGGCTATCTAACAGGCTTGTTGGTCTGAGGATTTTAAACAGTCGTCGATCGCGTGCGCTTCTATAACGCAGAATTCCGAGCGAAGCGCCGACGCGGTCCGTTGAAGATAGTCCAGTAGACCTCAGACGCGCCTGTGTGGGCGGTTGTCTCCGGTGATGGCAGTAACGTTTGGTGCTGCACATCAGGGGATTAATGCACGCCTCCGTGCCGGAACTGCAACAGTCCCTGGCGAGCGACTGGGCCTCACTAATCATGACCCTTGTGGCCTTCGCACGTCGTTAACGGTGTCGCCCAAGGGCGTCGGCTAGGTGCCACCCGATTTGGAGTGGTCCCGCTGTCGGTGCTCCTCCCGCGGCTGGCGGCGGTGATCGAGTGGTTGCGGGGTTTTTCTCACGACGGTAAGAACTGGGGTCGTCATTCCCGCCGCCGGAAATTTCGATTTTCCTGATTGAAAACAGGGGTGGCAACGTTGTTGACTCGAACAGTCGTGTGCCCCGACAAATAGCCGGACAACCATGTGTCTCCTCAGGGAGACGATTTTGCACGAGTTGAAGAGAGACCCTCTGCTGACGGCGCGGCTCATGAGTGACGTCACCTACCAGTCAGCTGATAACCTGGTGGACGGTACGTCTGGAATGCGGGTGTGCTTGCATACTGAGCAGGAAGTTTGAGAACCACATGCCTTCGGTTTCAACACTGCTCTCGAACAACAACGGAGCTGCAGTATGATGCACGGGGAGGTTTGCGTTGAACTGATGTTCTGAAGCTCATATTTTCAGCCGCAGGCTGGGACGCCGTGAATGTTGGCCAGTCTGGTTTCATGATGCAGACATATGGACTTTGGAATTCTTCCATGTCAATACACATTCCAAAAAAACATTTCGTGTAAATATGACACATGTACATTAACACAAAACTTAAGCTGAACTGAACTGTGCGTTTCTCGTGTTTGCACTGTATCATGTTGAAGTGCGTGCACCACTCGCTCCAATTAATTTCCGTGAGAGCAGGCTCAGACCACGTCAGTCAATCAAGGATCGAGGTAAAGAGAGCAACAGCAGAACTAAGTACCTGACCGATAACCAAGCAATGGCTGTGCCTGTGCTTCAGGTCTGACCAAGGCTGAGGAGGAGCAGTACTCGCGGCAGCACTACTACGGAGAGGCCGGACATGACGCTCACCTGCCGACGACGTCAGTAGGGCTCCGGCCTCCGTGAGACACCTCCTATTGGCCACAGGCTCTGAACTGTCATGTCGGCTGCACGGGGCAGCTCAGGGGTCTTTGATATAACGGCGGGTGGGATCGGTCAATATTGCCGCAGTGCTGCCATGATATGAACGTAGGTTATTGAAATTGGTGAGGCTGATTTCCTTTTTGTGGAGATCTCCCGTTTGAGCAAGAAGCTGGAGACAGGCTGGCTCCTACTGACATCTTTTCGGACATGTGACATATTCGGGTAACGTCACTCGGTTTTTGACATCAAGAAAGTGCAGACACCCGGCTTGAAAGTGTCCGACAGTTTATGTCCTGCTTTTCTTTTTATTCCCTTATTTTTCGTCTTCTTTAAGAACGAGAAACAAGATAATGAATACAAAAAGTGAATAGTGGCACTAATCGTTGGGCATGTCACGACATACTCATGACTCCGTGTCACATAGTGTCACAGTCTCTTACAGAGATCATGATGGAGGACACTAGACAACCTCAATGACCTTCTGACTGGCCTAACCTAAAACATCCTAAACTCAGCGTCGAGCTCGTGCTTTACCTCCCATCACGCTTCCAGCAGCGGCTACGCCTACTCGGACAGTTACCAGCGTGACGGCGGCTACATCTGCCCGTCTGACGTGTTCTATGCCCGCGTGAAGCGCGCCGTCAATACCTACAACGAGTGGAAGGTGATTGTGAACATGCCGGACGCCTTCGTCCACGATCCCGCCTACAAGCAGTACGTCCAGACTTCCCGTCTCGAGAGCTGCGTGTAAGTGACGGACGGCGACTCGGACGGGGCCTGACAGTGACGGCCGTGGGGGCAGTGATCAGCGACAGAACAGTGTTTGGTCGTGAAGGGGACAGTTTCCTGCCGTGCCGCCGCTTAAAAACCTCCAAGGCCAGATGAGTGACCTGGGCATTTGGCGGCTTTTGTCGCATTCCGGGATGTGCACTGTGGAAAAGCCCGTTTCAGCTTGTGCGATCCTCCACATTTGCGGCTCTTCCATGTTTGTCGCTGAAGATCTACCTAAGCTTTCAAGCTACTACGTTTCTTTTGCTTGTCGTCACCAATATCCATCGTTTTGGCAGGCGACTTTTACCCTATGAGCAGGCCTTTAAGTGTGTTGATACTGACGTTTCGCAAGCCCCGCAATGGCCGCTTGTCACGTGTCTTTGGAAAGGCTCTGTACCAATACTGATATGTCATATGTTACATTCTACTCTTATGCTGCGACGTAGCATGAGGTGCTACCTTGCTACCTACCCTGCCATCGGCACATACCGTGCCCAGTGCGACCTACACGCCATCTTGAGAGGATTTCCCAGCCTACACTTCATCCACGCTCTTTTCCGCTGTTGCAGACACCCGGGCGGCGCGTGCAGCTTCGTGGACCACCTGTTCCCCTCCTCCTGTCTGCAGAAGCATGCCTTCGTCCGCCTGGTGGCGTACGACCCCAAACGAGGCCTGCATGTCGACTCCTTCAAGCTGCCCTCTGCCTGCTCCTGCCACCTGGCGCCGAAGGGTGGAGTTTACCGTGCGTGATCGCTGCGCCCGATGCTCCTGCCATCTGCTGACCAGGAGGAAAGTCTGCCACGCGTCATCACCAAAGCTGGTGGTGTTGCACTCTGATTCACTTGCAGGGGCGTAGTTTCAACAAATGAGTTTGGGCTGAACATTGAAAAATGATTCAGCTTACCGCCAAAAGAGGCCAACAAACAAGTCTCTCCCCAGATTTGGCCCATTTTCTTCCGTAACTTGGCGGGGAGCTGGAGTCAACGACCCCGCCCCCCCGTCGGGGGGGGGGGGGGGGGCGGGAGCCCCCAACTTCAAATGAGTAGGAAACTACACCCCCGCTCACTTGTATTTATTTCACAGTGCTTTGGCTTGTCAAGTATTGTAGGGGATGTTTCCCACTCTGTGTCTGAGCTTTACAGCTCAGGCGAACGCTTCGTACGTTCCATACGCTTGTGGATGGACTCTCCCAGCATCTCTCCGGAATGCTCAACCGTATTTCACTTTTTTAGGTTGTGGCGTTTAAGAAAGGTTCTTTCAAGCATCCGTTGAACGTTCATTGTCACGTTTTGCTGCAGTGTTGGTGAAATAAACGCACCGCTTACGCTACTATCCCGTGCTGAAAAGGCTCCAGGAGAATATTCTAGCTCTCCGCCTTTCATTTATTGCAGGCTGCTGGTATTTTTCATTGTTAAATACCGACAATGCTGCATTTTTCATGTGCGCGCAATCATAACACTCATGGGCCCAATGATCAATTATTGATACCAAATGATTACTTTACCAAAATCTGACACTTCTAAGCGTGCCAACCCAATCTCAACCCAACCCTTCACCAGTCTGGCGAGACGCGTGCTTGAAAGGTAAATCTGATAGCGGCAAATGCGTGAATCGCAGGTTGCATATATTTCGACCAACACAAGTTCAAGGTAAAAGTTGCACAATTGCGGATAAATAACTATGCACATTGCACGAGGACAGAAGAGCAAGGCACAAGTCAAACGGCAATCATCTGCCACATCCGTCCGCTGCCAGACGATGCTGTCTCAAAGATGCACACGCACCGCACGCACACTAGCACGCACACACGTGACATGCACGCAGCCACGTAACCCTGCCCTCCGCGACTGAAGAGGTGCGGTCGCATGACCTGGCAAACGCTTCAAATCTCACTAAAAAGGGGAATAATAGACCATCGACAACACAAACTGTCCCTGGCCGATCTCGCTGACATGTTCTATGCATCTCTGGTTATCCTAGCTGTTTTTGTACACGGCTACATTAACACATCGACCAAAATGGTCACTGCGCGTGAGCGGCTTGTCTTGAGGGCGGGCGGTTGCTCGAATCCCTAACTTCCGTCTGGAAGACCGCACGTTCCACGCCGCCTCGTGCGTCAATGTCACCGAAGGCCGGTGCGCCAAGGCGTACGTCACCTCTAAAGCACTGGCCGAAGACGACGGGCGCAGCGTTCGCGATAAGGGGGCAAAGCGTGCCGCCATTCGCGTGTCTCCCGATCTGACTCGTCATGGAGTAGGCAACAGCTCGAAGGGGGGGGGGGGGGGGGGCAGTCCGCCGCGCGCCGGCAGCCGGGCCACGCACGTGCAGACCAGTACAGGGCACGTGCCGCGGGGCTGCGGGGGCACACACCTCCCACGAGCCCCCTTCTTCGTTTCAGAGGTGGGCGGGGGCCTGTCACACCGGCCTGAGCAGACCCGTCCTGACGCTGGTCTGGGCAGACCCGTCCTTAAGATGGTCTGAGTAGACCCGTCCTGAAGATGATCTCCGACAGTCACCCGTGAGAACTCACGCATGCGCGCTGAAAGCACGGCAGTGCGGGAGGCGTCACGCGGCGTGAGGCCCGACCGTGCAGTCACGCGGCGTGAGGCACGACTTTCCAATGGACTACTGCTGATGCCATGCTCCGTATCAGGAGTAGATGGTCATCAGGATCATCTGCAATAGAGGGACGTCATGTTTAAATTAGCAGCTCATGGAAATCAACGGACGCTTTCGCAGTAACACAGAGCTAGTGTTGATGTGTGAATGTGATGCCGTGCAATTACTGAGCACGGAGAGACAAATATGTAGTTTCGCAACAGCAAGTTGAAGAAGGAGGGAAAATGGGAGATGAGTTTCTTTGTTGATTTGATTCGCCTCCTTCATGGTCGCAAAACAGTCACTGCGGTCAACGCGCCATAAGATACTAATCAGCAAAGGAGGGATTCATCATCCTCTTAAAGTTGGGGACTGCAGCACCCTACCCACCCACCCACTCCCATCCCCCACCCGGCGCCGTTTCTCAACCGAACATGAAACTTCACCCCTGTTGGGAAAACGAATAAACAAATGAGGAATCGAAGAGTTCACCACGATAATACAAGGGTTGCCTCTGAGCCATGTGCATGCTATCCCCAGTCTCCATAAACCGCATGACTGAGCTTGAATCTCTCAATGAAGTGATATGACACCGCGGTCCACCTCTGTCAGGGGGGGGGGGGGGGGAAGGGGTTACGCGGTCCTGTATTTCGCCGCATTTAGTCAGCGTACGGGGCTGCGTTAAACACCTACGACATAGTGCTGTCGGTAGGCTGTGATTATATCATTTATCTTACATTTATCCTATGGACAGTGCTAATAGCCTTATTGCTCGTAGAATAGCCAGGAAAATGGACAGATAATGTATCTATGCCCCACTCTTCCTGGCTATTCTGCAAGGAATAAAAATTAACATCGTATCACCTACACACATCTCGTAAATATGATCACCGTAATTAACAATTTATATTTATCCTTCGTGGCATTAACCTTGCATCTCATTTGTCCAATAAATAATTTCGCAAACCTTTCATTTATGACACATATTACTTACCAAATACAGAATTTATCAAACAGGACATTTATCGAAACAAATTAAGTACCGAACGGATCATGTGTCAAACGTATAATGTATACAAGATATCCGACAGCAAACTTATGCATCGAGCATATCTCTATCAAACATATCCTTTAAACATATCAGTTACTTTACAATCGTATACTTTCTGTCACGAGTTTTACACTTCATGGGATATTCGCTTGGATATCATTAAACAAGTCCGGCAAACCACACCCTCTGAAGCCAGCTTCGCTGCCCAGCACTAACCTCCTCTAGCGAGATGGGGTTGGTCTTCATCTTGGTGTCGATGCTGTGGTAGCGTTCGTGCGCTAAATGCAGCCGCACCATGGCGATGAGGAAGCTCTCCACCGTCAGCACGCAGCTCTTGGTGAACCTCAGGATCAGGCACTCCAGAACCTGCCACAGAGGAGTCTAAGGGCCCACACGAGCAGCTCACACCAGAACCTGCCACAGGGGAATCTCAGGGCCCACGCGAGCAGCTCACACCAGAACCTGCCACAGAGGAATCTCAGGGCCCGCATGCGTAGCTCACACCAGAACCTGCCTCAGAGGAATTACAGGGCCCACACGCGTAGCTCACACCAGAGCCTGCCACAGAAGAATTTCGGGCCCATACGCGTAGCTCACACCAGAGCCTGCCACAGAGGAATCTCAGGGCTCACATGCGTAGCTCACACCAGAACCTGCCACTGAGGAATCTCAGGGCCCGCACGCGTAGCTCACACCAGAGCCTGCCACAGGGAAATCTCAAGGCCCGCACGCATAGCTCACTCCAGAACCTGCCACAGGAGAATCTCAGGGTCCCCATGCGTAGCTCACTGTGGTAATACGGCAGGGCCAACAGAACTGTACCATAACGTTGTTGTTCAGTCGTGAACGCTCATACATCGTTGTATTGTCGTATCGTTCAGGCGTTTCTGTTAGTGTAACGATGAACACAATGGACTAAGGATTATCTGGAGATATGGGTTCAATTCCCAGTGGACGGATCCATCTTTGCCGCGTTACCTGGCGAGAACTATCAAGAAACTGGAGAGTGACTAGTTACCACTGGTTCATTTAGACAGGAGTCGATGAAAGTAATAATCTAAAGCAAAGCCAACGGCAAGGAATCATCTTAGAGCGCAGAAACCTTGGAATCCGGGGGTCAAGAACCTCCCGCAAGCGGTAAATGAAACAATACAAGCGGGCATAAGAAGGTGGGCGTAGTTTAGTTATTTCTGCCGGAGCAGGACTGTGGTCAGGTACCTTGTTTGACACGGTGACCCCCGCCTCGTACAGGATGGGTCGCATGTTGTAGCTGGACGTCTTGTTAGAGTGGCTCCTGTCGTACTTCAAGAACGCCAGCTGGAACATTACGGGCCCCAATGAAGTGATGTTAGATACGGAAAAATGGATGATGAATCATCGTATTAAGGCTTATCAAAGTCACTTACACAAAGCATCCACCATTTCAATGTTAAACATTTTGTCTAAATAACTCTTTACAAACAACAGAGCAGGAACATACGATAAACACAGGCCAATACCACGCATGAGTCCGAGAGAAGTGAAAACCTCCGCCATAGTCCGCATCGAGCTAAGAGGGTCACAGCAAATGCTTAAAGGACACAAGTGGCAGTCTCTACTGACGGCCGAGCAGAGATGTACGAACTCTTGAGAACGACGCAGAAATCCCCAGACGGCCACGTCTGCCCCGAAGGCTTCGCTATCTCCAGCAGCCGGGTCCAGGGCAATGACCATCTAATAGTGGAGAATGAGCACGATGGGCACTAACCCTCCAGTAGTGGAGCGTGAGCAGGATGGCTGGGATCTCGAACAGGCTGATACGGCCCGAGATGCTGTAGTCGCGCAGCATGATCAGCGACTTGCACAACTCCAGGCTCGGCTTGTCGGAGTGAAACGCTGCGGAGGAGACAGATGGACCTCATCAGAGCGTCATCAGGACGTCATCAGAGCACTAAGCAGAACTGTGTAGAATGGGGCGGCTCTGTTCCGAGCTGTAGGAGCTTAACATGGCGTATAGACGTATTCAGGGCAAACTTGCAGCTCAACACGGATAAACGTTAGTTGCCATGACAATTTTCTTGACAAATGCTATTAAATCTCAAGGAGGCTGGTAGTAACCCACGAAACGTGCCTGAATGATAGACAATGGTTGATTCCGAGTCATGCTGAAAGGAACGAGCAATCAGATCAAGCTCGGCTAACCGATACTCGTAATAATTAAATAAAAGCATCTTCCAATACATGACGCACGCCATGAACTCCTGGACATCAAGTAGTGGTAGTCAGATCGAAGAACCTGGGGGTGCACGCGGTGCTAAGACGAGCCCCCTCCGACTGGCACCAGAGACTCACTTTGTCTACCTCCCTTCCAGTGCGTCTTTAGAATCTTCAGCAGGATCACCGAGTCCACGTCCGGAGGATACTTGGCGACCAGCTTGGCCAGGATCAGACGCGAGTCGGGCTGTGGGCCAAGTCAGGGCTCATTTACTTGTAAACACGTCCGAATGCTAATAACGAAACAGAGCAAGACGGCACGTAACCTACACCGCCCGCTCTCTTTCCTGGCGTCGGAAATGAGGCCATCGTTGCTTTCGTATCTCTTTCCGCCTGCCCTCACACCCATACCGCTCAATGTTAAGTGGTGCAAGGATCACGCAGATTTGTCGCCTTTCCTACTCTTTTGGCCTTTCCTGTAAGTCAC